CCCCTGTGACTCTTTTCCTCTGGGGCCTCCTAATTCCTCCCCTTCACACAGCAAATGCAAGAACAGAGAGGAGAGTGCTAAATTACGTACATAAGCTCTCTCCAATCAGAAGGAAAGCAATACTTGGGAGAAGAGGGGAAAAGATACTCTTCCCCATCTCCTGTCCCCAGTTACTTGTTAACTAGTAACCAGTTAACCAGTACTTGTGCCAGGAAAAAATGTATTTTCTTAGAGGCCTGTTTATTTTCACAGAATATTTTGAATAAATTTTAAATAAGGCTCTTGAACACAGATATGAAGTGATTTCATGGCAATGAAAAATGGGAACAGTAGGGCACCAAAATAACAAAAATTGTAGATGTTAAACAAGGCTTGAAACTTTTGCAGGCAGAAAGCTGTAAGGGGCTAAACAGCTTTTGTGAACACAATCTGTATGTCCACAAATTTAGGCAAGGAGCTCAGGACTTCACTCAATCAGGACTTGAATCCAAGCTGTAGTCTGTGCCATCACAGGCACTACTCAGGGCCTCAGTTTCCCTGTCTGACATAAGGAAATAACACTTGTCTCCATTTAATGAGAGCCTACAATGTGCCAGATGCCTTATTTAGATACCTTGAATACATTTTCTTAACACAACCACCACCTTAGGGATTGTTATATATACAGCAGAGTTGTGAGAAACAATCATGGAAGGCAGGATGAAGATTGAAGCCTCCAGTGCAGGTGCTCAATGTTTGTTTCCTTTTTCCTTTGCTTTCCCTCCCCTCGAATTCATTAACTTTATTGGATTGCCACTATATGGAGCTGGTATTTTTCTCTGCAGTTCCCATGAGGAGGACAAAGTCCCAGAAATGCTGGGAAACTCATCATTGCTTGTTGAGAAGCCAAAGAAGCTGGGGAAGTTGTACTGTTTAGCACTTTCTTTGAGTCCTACAGCCTATTTCCCACATGAAATAGGCAGGATGGGGCTGCCCACCCAGCAATGCAAGAGTCAATTGTTTAATGACCAAGAAACTACTGGACACTTACATCCCTCCTTCCTTCTCCCACCCACCATCACATTGGCTGATTCATTTCTTCCAGCAAACATTTTATGGCATACTCATGCCAGGTGATGCCTGATACAGGATTATGGATGTAAATAATTGGGTGAGAATCCTATGTTCAAGAGTTTCTGGTGGAGAGTAAGATGACATGTAGAGATAGAGACTTACAACATAAGGCACTGTGTGCTTAGGGCCACCGAGGACAACAGATAAGGTGCTGTAAGAGCTCTAAGGAGAGAGAATTCACTTTTGGGTGAGGAGCAGAATAGTATTCAGGGAAGACTTCCTGTGGGAGGCAGCATTAATTAGAACTAGTATGTCCAGAAGTATTGAGTATCTACTGTGTGTCAGGCCCTGGATTTAGCAGATAGTATTTGGGTGTGTCAAGAAAGGAGAAAAATCATTCTTTTGACAAATATTTACTATGCAGTGGCATTGGGGATACAACCATGAACATGGCAGACATAGTCTCCTCAAGGTACTTATAACTAGTAGGAAAGACACAGAAACAAAATTATTGACTGAGAGGTGATATAAAGAAAACAAAGAAGATGCAAAGACAGGGATGGGATGAGTCAATCTTACCTAGGTTGGTCAGGAAAGGCCTTTCTGAAGAGGGAATGTTTAAGCTGAAACCTAAAGTATAAGGAGCCATCCATGGAAAAAGAGAGAGAAAAGGGAATAGTATCTGCAAAGGCTCTTGGTGTGTTTGACAGGAAGACCACTGTACACTGAATATACGATAGCAAGCTGGAGGAAGAGTGGTAGGTGATGAAGTTGAAGGAGCAGGCAGGAACCAGCTTGTACAAGGCCTTGGGAAGGGGATTAGATTTTATAGCAGGGAGACACATAATCATCTGGCAAACGGCTGGGGTTAGGGTGAGGGGAAGCAACAAGAACAGCTAGAAGGACTTTTCCTTCCATGGGAAAGTGGTCATGAGCTTATTCCGAGGCAAAGGGAAGCAATTGATTAATTATAGGCTAAACAAGGAGAGGAATATTCATATTATTTCTTAGAAAGGGAAGGTATTTTCCTGGAATTAGGGTGATGCCCTCCTTTGACTAAATATGGTCAAACCAGAAGTGTCATGGTGTCAGGTGCATGACGGGAGTGGGAGGTTTCCTTAGAAACTTTTATGCTAATTCTATGGTAATGGGGGTGCAATGAAGCTGTAAGGTCAAGAAGCAGTTGATTTCTCTGCCATCTTGGTTCTAACCAGTTGGAACTTGTCCTGCCACCATCTTATTTTGATCAGGGTAGTTCAAAACCGTGATTTGAGACTTCCTGCCTCAGTTAAGCAATGCCTGAAGCAGGGCCTGCCAGCTCCCTGTCCCAGTTGAAGATCATTTGACAATCTGCTGAGGCATTTCAGCAGGCAGTGGGAGCCAGGACCAGCATCTGAGCAGAGAAGAGATAGTAGAGCTGGATTTTTAAAAAAGCCTTATGGGGGAAAATGAATGTTTAGTATTAGCGTTTAAAAGTAGCTCTGGCAGCAGATTAAAGGATGGATTTAAGCATAGACTGGGGATGGGTGGTAGGTGCTGGAGGAGCTGTGGAAAGAAAAGTCCAGAGGGGGAAATTGTGGGGCCAGGAAAGGATTTAATCAAGCTGTGGTCTCTTGAGAGAGCTCACTCATGGGTCTCGAAGAGTGAGACCCCTAGGGAAGGGTGGCTGCTAATCAGACCAAAGCATGGGCAAGTCTTTTCATGTTTCTGAACCTCTGTTCTCCACTGATATGTGAGAGAAAATGGAGGAAGCAGAGTGGCCAGGGGTAGAATCGTTGCTTGCCAAACCCCTGACATCTGTTGTGAGCCTGAGTAGCCAAGTAGCTGAGACAGGGCTGTGTGCTCAGGAAAGGGCCATGTCACCTCGTGGGCCCTTCTGGTTGCGGGAAAGCCCAGGGGAGGCCAAGGAAGCCAGACGCCGGGATGATGGGAGTTCAGTTCGTCTTTGTTTCACGCCAGTTTCGAAATGTCGAGACCTTGGCATCCAACAAAGCGCCTGGTCACCTGCAGGAACTCTGTGAGGTCGGCAAGGGGGTTGTACTCGCCATGTAACAACAGACGGGGAAACAGGCTCAGCTAAGCTCGCCAAACACTGCCTGCCGGACGCAGCCCCGGAGCTGTAGGGCTGGGCGTAGAAGCCACAGCCTCCGCTCTGAGCCCTGCTCCGAGCTGCCTGTGGATGAAAACTACAATTCCCAGGATGCCACTCGGAACGGGGTCAGGAACCGGAAGAGAGGCCGGAGGCGGAACCAGGTGCGTGCCGCTGCGTGTGGTGACAGGAACAGGTACACCTTGAGGCTCGGTTAGGGGCGGTTTGGGGGCTGCGGGGTCCGGCTTATGACAGCCGCCTCGCTCACGGGCGGGGCGGACGCCGGGAAGGCAGCGTTGAAGAGTCGTGTGGCCTGTGATGCCCTACCTTCTTAGTGCTTTCCCTTTCTGCCTCCCTCGCACTCGCAGCCTGTGGGCCAGGCGGGACCTGCAGGCTGGGTACTCTCGGTCCTGGAGTCTAGACGTTCTAGTGCTGAAGGTGTCATAGGAATGGAGCCAGCTTTGGTGGGCTACAACTTAGAATGAGGAAATAAGAGAAGTGTGCAAACAGGCCGGTTCATCATTTAGCGCCCGCGTATACGCTCACCAGGTGGGACGTGGGCTGGAAAAAGTCTGAGGCCTTTGTCAGCCCGGGTAGGGGCTCAAGGATTTATTAATTCAGCCGGTATTTGTTGAACGTCTATAAGCGAACAGAACACTTGATTACATTTTAGGGATGGGGAAGGTTCAGACAAAAAAAAAAAAAATAGGTCATGCTGGATAATAAAAATCCAAATGAATTGAGGAAGGTGGTTTGTAATTAATTGTCTAAGGGAAGGGGCAGGTAGAGAAAACAGCAAATGAAAAGGCCCTGAGGTGGGAATATCCTCGGTATGTTTGAGGAACAGCAAGCAGGTAGACCAGAGAGTGCTGAGGAAAACGGAGGAGGTAGACCTTTAGGATTTGTATAGGCCATTGTATGGATTTGGACTATTTACTGTAAGCGAAATGGAGACTACTGTTGAGTTCTAAGCAAGAGTGATGATTATCAAACACCTAATGCGCACAGTGAGGCTCAGTACTGAGGATGTACAGTTGAATTCTTCATTTTCTCTTCCCTGAAGGAGTTATAATCCAGTGGTGAAACGTAGGCAGACCAGCTTTCACGCAAGGTTGAGCCAGATCATTGGAGCCCCATGAAAGCAGAATAAATGTCATTCCCAGATCCTTAGCATGTACTATTATGCCAGGTGCTTAATAACTTTGTCAAATGATTAAATTAATTGGCCCCGTTACTTAGCGCTGGACCTGTAATGGAGGCTTAGAAAAGATTTTTGAATGAAGAAGTGAAATGCTAAATCTGGTCTTAGATAATGTCACACACAGATTCAGCAAATCTGTGCTTCTGTGATGCCCAGCTTCACCTTTGCTTTCCGAGGATCCCTAGGTGGCAAGCTCCTGTTCAGCATTTACCAAACTTCCATTCTGTGCCAGGCCTTAATGACAGTCACCAAAAATACAACGATAAAAAAGAGGTGGTCCCTGCCTCAGGGAGTGTCCAGTCTGCTATATTATAGACTCTTCTGATAGTGATTGGAGTTGTCTTTGATTTTCAAGATTATTGCATCCCGAGTTCCTGGTCTGAGAAACATCTGAGGGACTATAGGAATTTGGGAAAGCATGAGGTAAAAGGAGGGGAAGAGGAAGAGAGGGAATGGGAGTGGTGGTGGTAAAATTCAGTTCAACAAACATCAAACACTGCCATATGCAAGGTTCTATACTCTGAACTGTTTAGTGTTTAGGTAAATATAGGTATAATCTTTCCTACAAAGGAATCCAGTTTGGCCAGGCATGGTGGCTCACACCTGTAATCCTAGCACTCTGTGAGGCCAAGGGAGGAGGATCGCTTGAGCTCAGGAGTTCAAGACCAGCCTGAGCAAGAGTGAGACCTCATCGCTCCTAAAAATAGAAAAATTAGCTGGGCGTTGTGGCATGCAACTGTAGTCCCAGCTACTTGGGAGGCTGAGGCAAGAGAATTGCATGAGCCTGGGAGTTTGAGGTTGCAGTGAGCTACGATGATGCCACTGCACTCTACCCAGGGAAACAGAGTGAGACTCCATTCCAAAAAAAAAAAAA